CTCTGTTTCTGTAAGGGTACCACCATTATTCCCCAGATTCACAACCTCAGCACAACATCCCTGGAATCTGTTCCTTTCTCATTACTTACATGGCAGCCTTATACAGGCCCTTATTATCCCTCACCTGGACTATACCAGTAGCTTCCCAATTGGTCTTCTGGCTGCAAATCTCTCCTCTCTTAAATCCATCCTTCATACAGCTGCCAGAGTTATTCGTGAAGCGCATGCCTGACCACGTCATTTCTTTGCTTAAATTCCAGTGGTTCTTTGTTACCTTGAGGATCAGATACAAACACTGTTTGGTATTTGATGTACTTTACAGTGCTGCCCAACCTACCTTTCTAGGCTTGTTGTACAAGACTCCCCTTTAAAACTCTGTATGGTACACCCCATCAGACCTCCTTGTTGTCCCCCACTTTTCATTTCCATACTCTTGTAATTTGCTCTGCTCTACTGGATTGCATTCCCCCATTGCCTCTTCCTGACATATAGTAGGCACTTAATAAATGTTTATTGGATTGGATCTTAGATGCCCTAGTTTCCATCCACACTCAGTTCAGATGCCACCTTCTACATGAGGCTTTTCTGATTCTCCTAGTTTTTATTAGCCTTCACTACCACCACATAATCTGGTGTGCATTTTTATACACTTGTATTATTTACACGTCCGCCCAGATAGAATGTAAACTCCTTGAGGGCAAGGTTTTAGACTGTTTTCTGTTTCCTCAATGCCTAGCATGTAGAAGTGTTTAATAAATGTTTGTTGACTGAAAGGCAATTACAGAAAACAAGTCAGAAAATGAGTTGAAGGCAAACCTGAATAAGATTCCCTTCTTTTAAATACAACTTTTGGTTTTTGAAGCATTTTCTCTAATTTCCCATTTCTCATTTGAATTTCTAATGTTAATTTTTGGGGCTGTCACTATCAACAGTCTCTGCTTCTTTTGCCTAATTTTTATTACTTTTATATGCTTCTGAGAACCTTTGAGCATTCCCATTTCTTCATCCAGTTACCCCAGCAGGGCTAAATCAGGTTTACTTGGATGACTAGTAATAACAAAAGACTTAATGTCCCTTCAGGTACTCCCCCTCTTTTCCTCCATTCTCCTTCCTTCCCTTACCCCAAGGCCTACCATTAGGGGAGATACCTGAAATTCCTTTAATAGAGGACTGATCCTTTTCATCTACAATTTGAAGGTTTAAGATGCATCTGCTGGTTAAGTTAACATACTGATTAAGATTCTCATCACTTAAGAATACTTATTACTCTTGATTTGTGGGAAGAGAAAGAAGACTGGAGACTGCTTGTCAAAAGAGTTGGAAGGCATTTGGTGCTAGAATAATGGGGAGGGGGGACGTAATTTTTTTTTTACCTAAATTAAGTGGTTAAGCTTAGTTAACAGGAAGAAGAAGCAGGGGATGCGGAGGTCAGTCTTGCCAAACATGACCATTTTTCCTAGATTGAGTCTGTTTACCTTTACCTGGAAAGTTGCTGGAGTATTTTTCTCTAACTGATCACTGCAGCCAGACCTGCTCCCAATTATTGGGCTTCCCCATCCCCTTCTTCTCCCTAAACATAAGGCAGTCTTGTAAACTTGCTTTGTTCCCAAGGTATTTGTTAATTTGGGTATCACTGTATTCCTTTCCGGCATGTTGGCTGGCTGCCAAGCAACCAGCCATCCTCCTGGAGCGAGAGGTTAAGTTCTAACCTGCATGTTCTTCCCTCCTCAGCAATATACTTAGGCAAAGGTTTTAGTCCAATATAGGTACATGTGAAAATGCTAATTATTACATAGAGAAAATCCTTATGGTATCTTATATGTGCAGTCCCTTTATGCTAATTTTAAAAGCTGATTATCGAACAGATGCCTATAAATTCTCTTTGTCTTATAATGTGTTCATAATGAAAAGAAACCTCCTCTCATATATCTTTCTCTCAGACATTGCTTATTCTTTAAAAAAAATTTTCTTTTCAATTATCAAACATTCATTTTCTCTCACCACCCTTACCATTCCCCATGAGAGGGGGAGGAAAAAAAACAAAACAAAACCTTGTTAACAAGTAATGCATATTCAGGCAAAATGAATTCCCATATTGGCTATATCCAAAAATGTAGGTTTCATTCTGCATATTGAGACCTTCATCATGCCTTCTTATCTTTCCTTCTTGTATAATGGATGAGTAAGTTTACCAGGCACTAGATTTCTCTGTCACCCTATTTCTCCCTCTTCTTCTCTCTCTGTCTCCAGGGGAAATAAACAAAAGAGGCCAAGGAGAGGAGGTTCCAGACATCTGTTTCCCCAGTCCATTACTGTCCCTTGGTTCTCAGGAATATCAGCAATTAACAGGGCTTATCTTCAGAATGCCACAGAAATAGCTGCATTTATAGATTCTTAACTTCTTCCGAACTGCAAAGTTTTATTTCCCCATTGTGTACATTTTTCCCAGGAATTTTTAAGTTTTCTGTTTCAAATAAAATTCATTGACCTAGTTCTTGGGCCTATGGAAAACATTCCTTCACTCTTCTTCTGTTTGTTGGGCTTTATATTCATGAATTTCCCAGACTCTGTTTAGTCTGCTGGTTTTTATTTTGATGCTGTCTTGTTTTCACTGTGCATAGCCCAGAATGAATGAAGATGCATGCTCAGTGTGAATTTCTGTTTATGTGTCTCACCTTTGTCACATGTCTTTTATGTGCAGTGAACTTAAGTGGGCAATCTAATATTTAGTCACTTTGATGCAGATAATAACTTTGTGCACTTATTATAAAGTAATAGTTGACTTTATAATATTGCATCTGAGGTAACATAAGCTACTGAAATACCTTTTGAATCTTCAAGGTAGGATGAAATGCTCAATATGTTTTTTACATTAAGCATCTTTTATTGTATTGATGAAAAAGCATTGAAAGCTGATAGTTGATGTGAGATTTGTGGTCTGATGGTAGGGCAGACTTGAGAATTGGAAGGGATCTTAGGATAAGTATTTTTCCACTACCATACTGAATTACCATTGCATATTTCTATTTTTGTAATCCTTTCTGGTGAACAAAATTTTCAGGGGGCTTGGAAGAGATCTTTAATTTGTGGGGATGGCATTAATGCCGTTATTCACCTACTGAAAGTATGCCTTGGTAATATAAAAGCAGAATGAATTCTACTAGCCCTTTGTTAAATGTTTCCTCCCTTTTCTGCTTCATTTTAATTCTTTACCCCCATAATCAGGAGGTGAATTCTAATGCAGAGTAAAATATTGTCTTCTAGTAATTACTTCTGTTAATAATATGTAAGACTAGGGAAAAAATTATCTAGGGAGAGACTATATCATGGTTTTCACAGAAACTCTGTTCCTCATAGCTCTGGTAGAATATAATGGGGTGGTTGTTTTGGTCTTAAACTGGGGGGGGGGAATTAACCACTAATTCCCAAGGGGCATTTTGAATAGGTTTATACAGATTCCTATATCAGTTTCAACAAAGCAACTGCTTCTGCCCAGAAAATACCTCCCAGCAAATAGGGAAGAATAGAAATGAAATTAAAGGACAAGGATAGAGAGTCACTGTCTATGAGATAAGGGGTGTTGGCAGTTTTTACTTGGGTTGTCACTGATTTAAGTAAAAGCCTTCTTGGCTTTTTGTTTCTGTTTTTGCAGTTTGTTTTTTTTTTATAAAACATTTTCAGGTGTATATTTTTTTTCCCTCTTAGGTGAATGAATGATTGTAAATTTATTAAGCATCTATCTACCGAGGACTGCTAAAACTAAGCGCTTGTTGTAATAAAAATAGAAAAAACAAGATAGTTTTCGAGGAGCTCATGCTATACTTGAGGGAAAAATCCCATAAAAGATGGTTCAACTGCAGGGTGAATGGAAAGGTCCAGAAATCTGGGGGAGAAGGTTTGCAGCTGGCAAGACCCTAGGGATCTTTAGGTTACGCCGTTACATCGAATGGCTCTGTTGTGAGTCTCTAGGGCAGGTTGTAAGGTCTGGTGGTCTTCCAGTAGAGTTGGCAAATCCCATCTCATCCACACCATGTGAGCATCTTGCAGCCTGGATGGATTCTGGGCAGCCTCTGCCATGCTAGTGGGCAAAAGAGGAAGAAAGAAAGTGAGGGAAAGTGCCTCCTATGGTAGTAGGTTTTTCCAGCTGCTGCCCAGTGGGAGAGGGGGACTGAAATGATACGAATGACTTTTAAAATAACGAACATTAAATCTGTGGGTTAGTATGAGGAGGACATCATTTTGCAAAGGCGCGGCGGCATCCATTCTGTCTCTGTATCTGTGTTTCTTTGAGGTTTAATTGTGACCATTTACAGAGCCAGTAGAATGAGTGCCGGATCTTGGTTGGGAGGATGTGGATTTGAATACTGTGTGACTTTCAGCAAATTACTTTGTTTTTCTGAGCCTCGGTTTCCTCTGAAGTCTCAGAGGTCCCTTCCAGTCCTAGACCTGTGACCTATGATCTCTAAGATCCGATGACTTTTCATCTCCTTTCCAACGGGAAATCCTTTAATTTTCAACAACAGAAACTTGTACCATGCAGCTAAAGATAGTGTGGCTTGGTTTAGAGACAGTGTAATGGTAATGGCCTGAGGACAGCATTTGGAGTTGGAAGATCTGGATTTGAATCCTGGTTTCATCACTTTCTGTGGGTGACTTTGGGTGAGTTTTTGCTTCTGTAAAGTAGGGAGAGGGAAATCCAGAGAGATGGGCTAGACGACCTTCTTTTTTCTTTTCCAGTTAGAAATCTGTGATCCTTTGCCTTCAGAATTTGACTCTGAAACTACTACAGATTCACTTTTAAGTAACAGTCTTTTTCCTTTCCCCAGAGTAGAACACATTTTAATTTCACTTAAAATGATTGAATCACAAGATTGTGGCAAACAAGAAGCTGGGTAGCTTTAGCTTTTTATCTTTCTAAAAAGTAATAAGACATTTTCTTTCTGTTACCATCCTGTTGTAAATCTAATGTTCGTGTATTGCTTTTGTATTTTTTTCCCTAGGGTGACATACCATCTGTTGAACACCTCCTCCAAAATGGAAGTGACCCAAATGTTAAAGACCATGCTGGATGGACTCCATTGGTATTTTTCAGCTTTCTTTGCTCTTTTGACTACCTCACTCCCCTCTGGGACATCCCTTTCTGCCTTTTTTTTTCTTTAACGAAATTATATTTTCATTAATTATAAGGAGAATAAATGGTTTCTGACCTGACTTTCAGAGTGGTTGGGGTATTATCTAGAGCAGAGGTTCTTAACCTTGGTGTCATGGATCCATTTAGCAGTCTGGTGAAGCCGGTGGAATCTCTTCTCAGAGCAGTGTTTGTGGCCTACATTCATAATAAAAGAAAATGTTAAATTTCAGGTAGAAGTCAGTAAAAATAAAGCTGTCATTTTTCTTTCTCATCTAAGTCCATGGACTCATTTGAAAACTATTCATGGACCTCAATAGAAATTATTGTTATCTTGACTCACTTCCTGAGAGTTCAGTTTTTTGGTGGTCTCATTTTGCTCTTTTTTTTTTTAAATGGGTTGCCCAAGAGCTGGTGTAGGACAGCGCTAGTAACACTGCTGCTAAATTTAGGAAGGTCTCACTTTCCAAAGTCTGGTCCCATTAGAGGCTGATTTTTGCTGCTGGCTATGTCAAGAAGGGTCAAAAAATATGTGATGTTTTTCACCGGAAAGTAAGTCCCATTGGGATACACCATGTGCCTCAGTTGCTATGTATGGATGTAAGGGAGGAAACCCTGTAGTTCTGCCTCCCTGTTATCTTGACTGCTCTTTAGTATTTTTTTTTTAACTTATATAGAGCCATTTTTTTTTTGGAGAGATCTTTTTGGCTTTTGATACAGTGTATGGCTAAACATGTAATGTGAAGAATCCACAGGAAAGAATAGTACAAGCTGCTTGCGTTTGGAAACAAGTGCTAACTATCTGGGCTAATTGCATTAGGACAGTAAACATGAGATATGACATGTGCAGCCACAGAAGATGTCAGCAAATGAGGGAGAGGCATTCGTCCTGCGAACCAGAAATTCAGCACAGAAATTGGGAGTCTAATTAGACCAGGTGCATGCAGGCTTAAAGTGATATATAATGGTGCCCTCACTAGCCAAAATATCATGCCAGGAAGGTATTCATCCAACTCTAAGTCATGGAGTTGTAGAGACTTTCTCGGACTAGCTAATATTTTCCTGATTGGATTAATTATTTTTTCATGATCTGGAAAGCACACGATAGCAAAAAGGAGCGAGTACTCTTGCTGTATTGATTTGAGTTCTTCTCCTTTGCCAGTAAAAGAGCAGCTTTAATATGACCTATTTTCTGAATCAGACATACCAAGATGCATGTTAATCACAAGAGGGAATTTGATCAAATGGATTTATTAAAATGCAAAGTGATGGTGTGATCACATGTAAAAAAATGAGGACACAATTTACTAGGAGTATTTCTTTTCTCTGGAGTCTGTTTTGATATCTTCCCTTCAGTAGCTGTTTGTATTAAGTTGGTCGTTGTTGGGATCAGACAATTTGCTTAATGATAGTGGGTAAGACTTGACCACTTGCTGCATCGACTGGTGGTAGAGTTGCCTCGTAGATCCTATGAACTCGTGTAAGTAGGTGTAGATTTTGGGTATTTTTGTTGAAAGTTGTGTGATCAGTGGAAAATTGCAAACTTTACCGAAGGTGAAATTGTGGTATGCATTCAACTCTGATTGGGTCACTTTAGACAATTATAGAATTTCCATTTGAAAGGACCTCTGGAACCTTCTGATCAAAGAGTTTTTAGTCTTTTAACTCCTTTGGCAGTCTGTTGACACCTATGGACTCCTTCTCAGGATTTTTTCTAAATAAATAAAATATATAACATTACAAGGAAACCAATTCTGTTGAAATAATGATCAAAATATATTTATATTTTTTAAAAGTTCATGGAACCTAGGTTAAGAAGTTCTGATCTAGTGTCATCCATGCCATAATAATTCCTTCTATATCATGATCCAGCCTTTGCTTGAAGACTTCCCCTAGGGCATGAACTCAGTGTCTTCTGTTTTCCTATCCCCAGCATGGCATCATGGCAGCATTATAGTGGATTTAAGAGTCAGACCTGTAGATCTCTTCAAGCTCTGATACTGGGATTTTATGATTAGCAATATTTCATCTAAAATAGATATTCCCCTTTTCTTCCATAAAGGACTTATTACTCAGGCCTCAAGTTAAAAGCCTTTATCTTTATAATCTGAATTGAGTGAATGATTGGAAAAACATTTATTAAGATCACTGCTTACTAGGTACCAGGTACGTGTTCAACATGAGGGATAAAAAAAGTGACATAGTTCCTGCTCTCAAGGAACTTACATTCTAATATGGGAGTAGTGGTCAGGGAAAGTATCTATGAGAGTCAGTGATATCAGGAGAGCTGTTACAAAGCTTTTACATTTAAGTGGTTTTTAAGGCATGTAATAAGTGTCTTATTATGCCTGTAAATGCTTGTCCAAATAAATTGAATCCAGACTACCTGACTTAAAAGCAAAATTCTTGACCTAATCCAGCATCCTTTAAAAAACAAAGTTTTTGTTTTGTTTTGTTTTGGTTTTTTGCCAGATCATCAGAATTTTGTTTACTTGTTCTTTGTCATGCTTCTCTGTCCTCCCTCCAATTTGTATCAATTAGCACGAAGCCTGTAATCATGGACATCAGAAGGTTGTGGAGCTGCTGTTACAACACAAGGCTTTGGTAAACACCACTGGCTACCAGAATGACTCACCACTTCATGATGCGGTCAGAAATGGGCACGTGAACATTGTCAAGCTGTTACTGTCCCATGGAGCCTCTCAAAACTCGGTGTAAGTAGGTTGGAAACGTGTAACTGTTATTTTATTGACATGTATTTCTAAATTACCATTGCTTTTGAAGCAAAGACCTTAATATGTAGGTTATTGTTGATGTGTTTTATTTTTTTAATCCCCTCATCTCTTCCGTCTCCGACAATTAGATGTGATTTTCACAATGGTTTAAAAAACAGCATAGATGCCTTTTCCTTCTGTGGTTGTATGTGTGTATGGAGAGAGAGAGAGAGAGAGAGATCATGGTTTCTTTCTTTTAGTGCTGGAAAATTATCAAGCTAATTTTGAAAGCTTTCATTCCTCTGGCCTTATTTACATAGTACAAAAGCCAGTTGTTTTAAAATGTACATAGACATTTTAAACTGACCATTGCATTTATCTCCCATCTTGCATTTCTACTTACGTCCACTTGGACATAATGTGCAGAAATAACATGCAAGAATTCAAATGTTAATGATTAACTCCCAGATGAGGCTCATGGGTGTGTTGTTTTGCAGTGGCACAAAGGGGTATTAGTGACTTTTGGAAATTGACTTTTAAAATACACAGCATGGAACACATCCCAAGTAAATGGCTCATGTGGACCTTTTGTCTTAGTCTGTGGCCTCATCCTCTTAGGTTAGTAAGACTATAATGTTGAGTTTCAGTGTTGAATTAAATTGGAGTAAGCTGATAGACTGGTTTCCCATTTAATCTCATTAAAGTTCTCCCAGAGGATGAGGATAATTCAGAAAGTTCAATATAATAAAATACTCATATTCCTTCTAAAATACCTCCCAAGTGTGAGAATTAAAGATATTTTTTAAAAACATCATTCATTTGAGATGACTGTGTCTCTTTAAAAAGACAGAATCTAAAAATCAGCTTCTGAAAGCATAATCATCAGTCAGCAAGCCTTTAGTAAGTGCCTACTCTGTGCCTGGCATTCTATCAGAGATGAAAAAACAAACAAAGGAAAAACAAAGAATAAAACTTAGACAAATCTTAAACCAGCTACTTATAATTATCAGGTGTGAAATGCTTCATTGTGGGGAAAACCTTGCTTTTCCAGATTTCCTGCTGCTCTAATGGACTAATTAATTGTTTCTGGGCCTTAGTTTCTTAATTTGTAATATAACTGGCTTGAACCAGAGGACTTTTTAAGGTGCTTCCTAGTTATAAATCCACGATCCTGTGAATAGAGGAATTGCCACTTTTGAATCAACACTTTACTATCTTGAAGTGTAACTAGGCAACAGAGCTAAATAATATTCTTTTGTACAACCAAATGTTCTTGTTGCTATTCAGTCATTTCAGCCCTGTCTGACTGTTTGTGATCCCATTTGTGGTTTTCTTGGCAAAGATACTGGAGTGGTTTCTGTTTTCCTTCTCCAGCTCATTTTACAGATGAGGAAACTGAGGCAAACAGGGTAAAGTGACTTACCCAGAGTCACACAGCCATTGGCTGAGGCCAGATTTGAACTCAGGAAGATGAGTCTTCCTGACTCTAGTCCTGGCTCTCTAACCACGGCCTCCAGTGAAGTTCGGTGGAGGTTTAAGTACGACTGAACCACTGATAAATGAGTTTCACTGACAGCTACTTCTTTGAGAAAATAGTGGGATCTCAGAACCACAGATGTGTTGACGCTCAGCTGTTGTTGCCACAGCTACAGCTGTTTGTCATTTTTCTGTGTTATTCCTGGGTTCTTGCACATAGTCTCTGGTACCACGTGTAGAATAAATTTTTGCTACTGACTTCCAAAGAGATCTGTAGCCTTGGAAAACTAATATATCCATGGTTACTTAGTAAGACTGAGTCACGAGTCATCGTCACACTGAAGATATTGGACAGTCTTTGTCATTGCCTTGTGACAGCACAGTATCATAAATCAACTGATGCTTGGACTGGGGAGAATCTCTTTGCATTATAAAATTTCCAAGATCACCGGAGCATTACTGAAATGTGACTTAATTAATAGCAACTTAATGCTATTAGTCTTAGTAAAGGCATTTTTTCTGCCTACCTCCTCACCATCTGTTGTAATATATATAAGAGGCCCCCCTGGGGGCCTACTGGCTGTGTGACCCTGGGCAACTTAACTTAACAGCTCTCAGCCTCAGTTTCCTCTTCTGTAAAAAGTACAAAAGTACCCACCTCACAGGATGATTTAGAAGATCAAATGTGATAGCATAGATAAAGCATCTTACAACCCTTGAAAGCATGTTAGCTATTAACTATGCAAGTTAGTTCAGGTGTGTAGATATGCTGACTGGGGAGAGAGAGCGGTGATGGGGAATAAACGGAGAGAAGAAGGAAAGAGTATGTGTTTAGTTATCTTTGTGGTTGATTGCATTACCCCGTTAAGAAGCAGTTGGATTGGGGCAGCTAGGTGGCAAAGTAGATAGAGCACCAGCGCTGGAGTCAGGAACATCTGGGTTCAAATCATCCTTAGACTCTTATCGGCTGTGTGACCTTGAGTAATTTACTTAGTCCCAATTGCCTCCAAAAAAAGAAACGGCAACAGCAGTTGGGATTGTGGCTACCAGATAAAAGTTGTGATTTCCCTTTCTCTCAGGTTGCACGTTTATATGTTGATCTAAAGCAACAAAAAGGCACAGGTAGGTGGTGTAGTGGATAGAGCACCAGCCCTGGAGACAGGAGGATCTGAGTTCTAGGTGTGACCCTGGGCAAGTCACTTCACCCTGTTTGCCTCAGTTTCCTTATCTGTAAAATGAACTGGAGAAGGGAGTGGCAAACTGCTCCAGTATCTTTGACAGGAAAACCCCAAGTGAGACCGTGGAGAGTAAGACATGCCTGAAACTACTCAACAGCAACAGCAGACAAAGAAGGAGCAACCTGTAAGTAGTGAAATCAGAGCCCAGTAAAAGAAAAGGACTGAGATATTTCGAATTTAAGATTTAGAAGAGAACTAAACATGCTCATTCTGTATGTAGGGGCTCTGCTTTGCTGCGCGGCAATCCTTTTAGTCCTCTCTGTGCCATCTATCCCTTGTTCTGGACCTCTTCTTGCTCCCAGCTCCACCTCCCATCATCCCCCCTCTCGGCAGATGGCTGTCCCGCCTCCTTGCCTGACATGAGTTCCCTCATATCCTTACCTCCAGACTTCCAGGATGTCTTTACCTAGCCTCTCCTCCCTTCCCTCCTGTCTCTGAGAGAGTGACGTGGCAAGGTTGACCTCTCCATCTGTGCTGCCATAGTTTCTTGTCTGTCTCTTTCAGGATTTCACGCCGTTGATTGTCCCATCCCTCTCTCTCTCTCTCTCCCTCTCTCTCTCTCTCTCTCTCTCTCTCTCTCTCTCTCTCTCTCTCTCTCTCTCTCTCTCTCTCTTCCCTCCCTCCCTCCCTCCCTCTCTCCCTCCCTCCCTTCCTCTCTCCCCCCCCCATTCCCTTTATTTACTTAATTTTACTTTCCTTAGCAGCCTGTTGAGGTATGGAAAAGAGTGTTGGGTTTGGAGTCAAAGGATCTGTGTTTGAACTGACTGATTTTTATCTGCTACAGTGACAGTGTTGCACTGCATTGATTGACCGAATGGCCTCTGAGACCCCTTCCAACTCTTAAATCGATCTAACAGCCCACCCCCACTGCCTGAAAAACAAAGCTCACAACTTTCAAAGAGTGTTGCTCTTTCTCTGCTATCTTTCCAGTGCCAGATTTTTGGAAAGATTGTTCTGTGTTCTTTACCTTCTCAATTCCACTGCTCTTACGCTCTAGCCCCAACACTCCCCCTTTCTCAGTGTTCCTCGATCTTGCAGTAGTGTTTGACACTATTAACTGGCCAGCTTCCTCCAGACTATTCTCTTCTTCCTGGGCTTGTTTCTAATCTTCACAAGTCTATTTTGCTGGTTCTTTTTCCCTTATACTTTTATATAAGTATAGGTGGCAGTGAATTCAAACCTGGCTTCAGCCACTTACTGGATGTATGTATGTATGGGCAAGTCAGTTAGTCCTATTTGTCTTGGTTTCCTCATCTGTAATATGGGAATAATAACAGCACCTACTTGCCAGGGTTATTACAAGGATCAGATGAGATAATTATAAAGCACTTAGCATAGTGTGTGGCACATAGTAAGCACTATATGAAATGTTAGCTGCTATTATTATTATTATTTTGTTGTTGTTGTTGTTGTTGTTGTTATTATTTTATGTGGATATACCCCAGGGCTCTTTTGTCTTCTTGTCCAGTTTTTTTTTTTGGTTAAGGATAGAGAGCAAGTTAAGAGCATATCAGATATTCTTCAAGATTCAGTATCATACTTCAAAAAAATCATTGGTTTAACAGTGGGAAGAGTTTTTTCTGTACATAATTTTTATAAGTTATATATGTATTTCTATAGAGTCTGTCCAGAGATATTCACTGGGTGGTGAAGTTCTGGTTTCTGGATGACATTGTATTAATTCCGTTAAGCCATGGAATACTACTGGACTTTCTCAAGGATGCCCATAGTCATTCGAAAGAGATTGACTTGGTACTCTATGGGGGGGAAACTGAGGGCATGAAGGATGCTGACTGCCCGAAGTATAGCTTACATTTGAATGGGCAACTCACTGAATCAGTCTGTCAGTGCCGTTTGTCTTAGACAAGCATTACAGATAGAAATTGAGCCTGGGCCCGAAATTGAAAAAGCGTTTGGTAAATTTGACAGTGCTTTACATAGTCCTAGTCTGAGCTACTCCCTGACACACAAGGTCATATTTTAATACCACTGTTCTCCTGATGTTGCTGATTAGCTGTGAATCATGGAAAACATCATAGTCTCAAAAGAATCAAAATGGTAGATGACCCTAAGGGCAATAGAAAGTTGTGTGATGGGCATCAGTAGGCTTTGGCCTATTACCAACAATGCCCTGTGCTTTCAAAGATGGATACGCCCAGAAAGTGAGATGTTGTATTCCTGTGGCCTTGCTAAGGGTTGACCACTGTACATCTTGGCTGTTGAATTTTATCCATGAAATACTAAAAATAACAGAGCCCATGGATGATTTTTTGGACACTCTTGGAC